TTTCTTCCCGATCTCATACTGAGATCGAGAGGACATGGAAGAACCCATACTCTGCCTGTATCCACCAACATCAGCAGGCTAGTCTCGCTGATGTTGAGAGGATAGGAGAGCGTGGGTATGCGTCGATGGGAAAACAATCGACACTGAGAGCTCAAACCCTGCCAGTTGAATGGCAGAGCATACACGTCAGCGGGTCAGGCCGGTGCTAGCCTGCACATCATGGTGGTGTTGCAGGTACACCAGGCCGATCTGCTGGGGGATCTCGACCAGGGGGCAGGGATGTCCCCTGAGGCGGTGGCCGAGCTGCGCCGCACCACAGATCTGGCTCTCCGGGCTACCAAGCAAACCGCTGCCGCGATCGGTCGGTCGATGGCGGCGATGGTGGCCACGGAGAGGCATCTGTGGTTAAACCTAGCTGACATCGGGGAGAAAGAAAAGAACTTTCTCCTCGATTCGCCAGTTTTCGCCTTCCGAACTCTTTGGCACCTCTGTAGAAGAGGTGGTGGGGAAGTTCAGGGAGGCGAAGGCGCGCTCAGCAGCATTTAGGACATGTATACCGCTGAGATCCGCGTCCGCAGTCGCCTCTCGTGCGCCCCCTCCCTCGAGGAGCAGGTCGCAGAGGAGGCGTGACTCCCGCAACAGAAGAGATTTGAGGGAGGTTATCCAGAACAAACGCTCACAGCGTCGGTAGTGGATAACTTCCCCGGAGGGTCACGAAATCTGCCCTCTCTCTTCTGACCCCCAGGCGTTCATTACATCAGGCCTGGGGATGGGCCTATGGCCCACCTGGGCCTGGTTGGTGGAAACGCTCCTTTCAGGCATGTAAAGTGGCGGTTCCCAGGTTCATAAAGAACTGTCTGGCGAATCTTAGCTGCTGGTCTTCTCAAAGAATATTTTTTGTGATTAAAAAATAACATATTTCTCTTTACAGACCTCGTTCCCTGTATAGAGTTATGGGGCCATGTCAAGGTAATAAGGTAAGAGAACTTTATTGGATATCAGGGCCCTGAAGTTCCCCGGTAGGTGGCCAGAACGGTAACTATGTTAGCCTTCGGGCTGTTAGCCACCTCAGGGTAGAGTAGTTGGTCTCTCTCTTAAAATTTTTTATTTAGAGTGTTGACTGATGCTAGAGCTTCAGATAGATCTTAAGTCCGGCCCACGGGACCGTTTGACTTTCCTGAGTATTTCGCCCTTCGAGCTCTGTTTGGGTTTCATTAGGCTGAGCGATTCTGCAGCCTTTTGTATCGAATAATACAGATTTTATTCCTTATTAGGCTGTGGCTCCTCTGAGCCCTCAGATAGATCTATGCTTACAGGTTGGCCCTCACCAGGGCCGCCTCTGTAGCTGGCTTAGGCTGTGCCAGGGATATTAGAGGCGTTCTGCTAAAATTAGCATTTCTTCCTCTGACCCTTCACTTTGTGAATGTAGGTTTTTGGCATCCCTGTATAATCAGCCTCCTCCCATGGGAGTCGTTAGGCCAAGGCCCGCCCCCTTCTCTGCATTCCGGGGTGACTAGAGTAATGCAGCGTGGTGCAGAGGATGGTTTATAAGGATACGGTAGGCCTCAGTTAGGCCTCCGTGGTATATAAGTCCTTTTGAGCAGGGTTAGGCCGTCTTTCGCTTCACGAAGAAGACTGAGTCTCCTGCCCGACCCTGCCGTGCAGAACTGGCTACGGATTTAGGCCGCCAGTATGGGCTTCACTTACCTCGCTGAGCTACTGCTCGAGCGCCGGGTTGTAGGTGAGTGGCTTTTATTCAAGCCCCACTCCCCTAGGTTGGGCACAGATACATTTCTGTCACCCCTAGAGCCGCTGGCAGGCCCGCCCCCTGGTAACCTCAGGGGGAGGTGTGAGTATTCCCCTGTGATTCAGGGTAGGTCTGAGTACTTCACTCCCAGTTCTGTTTATCCTACCTCGCACCACTATGGCTCGGGTCGAGTATGAAGTAAGCCTTCACTTCTTCTTTGGTCGAAGTACGCTCCCCTGTAGCCAGAGCATTGCCCTGAGCTGACGCCCATGCATAGATGGTAGGCCCCTAACTAACTGGGGCCTCCGTTGAGGCAGAGTGGCGTATGTTGTACCCCCCTTGTTTTTAAGCTCTCTTGCTGAGCTCTCTTGCTGAGTACACTGCCGTGGGCAATGTGATTAGGCACCAGGATGCTGTAGGCGCTGTGTAAACAGCTTATCTGCCAACGAAGGCTGCGCCATCAGGTAGTAGGCCTCAGCAGGCCTCCTTGTATGGGCAGCCCCCAATAGGGCGCTGTAGGCCACTTCTCGAGAGAAATAGTTGGCCTTGGTGGTTCGGGCAGTTGACTCACCGGTGGGTAGTAGGCCTTAAACAGGCCTCCTCGGAGGTGAGTCCCAACGTTGTGCGACATACTTTATAGCTGCTGCAGGTAGCTAGCCGTACTAGGCCTCCTGTGGGTGGGCCCAATAGTTACGTTGGTGTAGTATGGTTCCCAACAGTGTTCCTTTGTAGGAATTGACTTGCTATTAGCTGGTAGGCCCAACCGGGCCTCCCTGATAGGCGAGTCCCCAGCTGGTTGGCCTTAACAGGCCGCCTTGGAACTGTCACCCGAACCCAGCTACCAGTTGCTATCAGGTAGTAGGCCACTCAGGCCTCCCTGAAGGTGATTTCCCATTTAAGATGGTTATCAGGTAGTAGGCCTCACCCGGCCTCCCTGAAGGCGAATCCTCACCTACATTGGCTATCAGGTAGTAGGCCTCACCCGGCCTCCCTGAAGGTGAATTCCCATTTGAGATGGTTCTCAGGTAGTAGGCCTCACCAGGCCTCCCTGGAGACAAGCCCAAGGTCAGGTAACTGAACAGCTAGCCTGACTTTCTATCGGGTAGCAGAAAATGCTCCCAGATATTATGGCTGTCAGGTAGTAGGCCTCACCAGGCCTCCCTGAGGGTGATTTCCCACATGCTGTGATTATCAGGTAGTAGGCTCCTCCAGGCCTCCTTGAATGAGAACGGTCAGGTAGTAGGCCTCACCAGGCCTCTCTGACGGTGAGTTTCCACAGGTTGTGGTTATCAGGTAGTAGGCTCCCCCAGGCCTCCCTGAGTGAGTACGGTCAGGTAGTAGGCCTCACCAGGCCTCCCTGAGGGTCCCCACATACTGTGGTTATCAGGTTGTAGGCCTCTCCAGGCCTCCCTGAGGGTCCCCACGTACTGTGGTTATCAGGTTGTAGGCCTCTCCAGGCCTCCCTGTGAGTGGTTTCCTAGCGGTGCTGGGTTCAGGAGGCTAGTGGCCTCTTGCTATCATTTTCAGCTGGCCTTATCAGGCAGCTGCTGAAGGCGAGCTTGCGCCCTGGCTCGACTAAACTGTACCAGGCGGACCATGTGCTCCCCTCACAGAGGGTCACTATGAGCACGTGGACTCCTGAGTCTGGTCAGACGGTCGTAGGCCTCTCGTGAGGCCTCCCAGTTAGATCAGCCCTTAGGCCTTCACAGGCCTCCTCAGTGTTTGAATCACAAGCACTGGGTAGATCCATGGATCGAGTAGAGAAACTCCCCTCGCTGGTAAGGGTTGGAAAGCACTTGCTGAGTCATACTCTCCGGGATGTCCCGTCTCTGAGATCCGGGCCGAGTGGTTCACTACCAGCTTGCAGTCCCTCGGGTTGGATGCCTTACTTAAGGCAAGTGTCCAGAGGCTCTGTCTTCGGACAGACAGGAAGTGGCCAGACTAAGTGTCTATGCTCTGACGCCAGGTCAGGCCGTCCTGGTGGCACGTCGGGGTGAGTACGTTCCCCTGAATAGTGACTGGCTGGGGTTCCTTCGGGTTCCCTAGCCACATTCCCTAGAAGGGACCCCTTCTAATTGAATTTGTGGTCCTAGGCCTTTGAGCAGGCCCAGGTAGGCCTTTTCATTTAACCATGTTTATGGAGGTTTTCCTGCTAGGCTTATAGCTTGGGCTATGACCGTAGGGAATGCGGTCACTGACAGCCCAGTGTGACCTGAGGGTGAGTGGTTCTAGCATTTCATTTGAATTTGCTGGTTCGGACAGTTGTCACTGCCTGAGGGCATGCACTCCCCTCAGCATGGCGGAGTGGGTATTTCGTTCCCCATAACGTCGATGACGTATTGTTGAGTTCCCTTCGAAAGGGAACGTCTCAGGTTACGAATGTAACCTCTGTTCCCTGAGAACAGGGAACGAGACAATACGTCTCCCTGCCATGCCTCGGGGCTTGCCTGCCATACAGTCCCTTCAGACGATAAGGTGATTTGTCATGTTTGCAAGGCGCCCTTATATACTTCCAGGTCGCACGTTAATCATTCACGCTAATGATTCACGGGCTGTCGCCGGTCAATGTGATTGACGTGATTTGATAGTGATTTCAGACACCTGTCATGCCTGAGGCGTTCCCCCATAACGTCGATGACGTATTGTCTCGTTCCCTGTTCTCAGGGAACAGAGGTTACATTCGTAACCTGAGACGTTCTCCTCTGACACCCATACATTCTGAATAAATACATTTTTTTGCAAGTAACACATTAATAATATTTCATTATGGCATACAGTAGATACTTTATCAATGCCCAGTTTTGTTTTGAAGAGTTCAATAAAGCGTTAAATAGACTGGATATTCAGAAATGAAAATCGATGCTTTTTTTATATCACAGCTCTAGTTGTTTTTAGAAAAATGTTTTGGATTGTGCTTGTTCCTGCTGTGCCATTTTTCACATAATTTGTCTGTGCCTTCAAAGTAATTAGTCACATGACATCTACAGCTCAGGTGATTGGCTCAAAACAATTGTGCCCAGAACTAAACATACCCATAAGCCTAAGTAGACATAGGAACCAATGGCACCAATAGTCGAGGATACTTTTGGGAAACGTAGCCCTGACTTTTTAAAATTATACATCAACAAAATAATTTGTAAATGTCAGATCAGGTAGAAATAGTGACTTAAGGCAAAAGCTGCACATTTTAAAGTGTATGTGAGTTGGGGGTATTTTGGATATTTGTACATTTGTGAGCTGTTACAACACTTACCTCCAACTATAGCTTCAAAGTATGGTCCTGATCGCTCTAAAGACAAAAAGAGAAGAATATTAAAAAAATGGTAATTGTATATGCCAAAACAGAATGGTCACATCACATAGTCTGTCCCCTTGTCCATTTTAAAATTTAAAGTGGTTTCACTCATACATTTAAGTAAGAATTTCTAATAGAAGTAGATATCAAGTATTAAACAGAGTAAGAATAAAAAAAACTGTCCTTAAACATGCCAGTTCTAGTTCTGCTGCTGTTCAGCTGATTTTAAGTGTAAGGGCCCTATCTTGCACTCGGCGCAAATGACTTTGTACACTGTCAATGTATCATTCCTATTTTGCACCCGCGCAAAGCGGACTTTTCCCTCCACAGACACACGTCGGTTAACTAAGAAATACACTTGCGCTCCCCGGGGCGGTTCAGCGCAAAGAGGAGGCGTGTTCCGGCGCAAACTTTCCCTCATGCTATTTTGCTGTTCTATAAAACAAATGCGCCACTGACCAGAAAAAAACCTAGTCTAAAGTCAGTGGCGCGTTGCGCGTTGTTCATTATGCTATTTTAAGGGCGCATGCTTGGCCATAATCAATGTAGCGTGTGCACAACGCGCATACACTTTGATTCTCTCATCTAAGCAGCAGTTTTCATTTTTGCAAATCATACATTATTAAGATAGATAGATAGATAGATAGATAGATAGATAGATAGATAGATAGATAGATAGATAGATAGATAGATAGATAGATAGATAGATAGATAGATAGATAGATAGATAGATAGATAGATAGATAGATAATTTATTATAAAAGCATACATGTATAGCTTACACATTTACCCAAGTTAATTTGGGTGGGTTTCTCAAACTTTCTCCATCCCCAATGTCACTTCTCTGTGTTTTACGGCCCTGACGAGAACGTTGCTCTCCTCGGCTATGAACTGCTCCTGGCCCGCACCTGGCAAATCCGCCGTTATAATAGGAATCCGCTTTAGAACAAGCGCGCCTGCTCTTAAAGGGAATGTGAGATGACGCTCTGATTGGTTTATTTCACGTTACGCCCAAACCACACCTATGAATAATGAAGCTACTTCAGACCAACCCCTTTTAGATTTGCGCCAGGCGCAAGAGGCATTTATCCCGCCGGGAAAATAGCAACAGCGCCGGGATCCGCCCACAAAGTTACTTGCGCTTTGCGCTTTGACACTTGCGTTTCAGATCGTTAAAATAGGGCCCTAAATGTCTTTACATGTCATTAAAGTTTAGTGTTCTGTTTGATCTTTTCTCAGTGGCTAGAGTTCTAAAACATTTTCAAGATGAATGTTTTTTAGGAGTGCTGCAGTGCAGCCATGTACTGTATCTCTACAACCAAATCCTTCAACGCCTCACTGATCCCTCGCAAAACACGTACTGTTGACTTTCTTCCTGTGTTGTAATAACACACGTGAATCTTTCATAATGCTTTGTTTTTATAGACAGCTGTCTCCCCCGCTGTATTGTAGCGAGACTCATTCTCTCCATCACCATGGGGACAAAAAGCTCGTTAAAGAAAGTAACTGAAGATAATCATGAATTATTGCAAAGGCAACATCTGCTGCCTTGACTTGACTTTCACTGAAGGACAGGCAAATCAAAGATGTTGCTTTCAAAATGGAGATGGATCTAGTGAGACCCCCAAAACTATTTTTAAACAGAAAGGATAATGCAGGTTTGACCAAGCAGATGCCCCCAAAACATGAACAATTAAGCTCCCTCATTAGTGTCTAATAACCTGTTATATTGTGATTAAAAGCTCATTGTGATTTGGTGTTTACAGCGAGACTATATTTGGAGTAATTAAGGAGACATAAGAACATTCACATTTGGGTAATGTGAAGGGCATGAAGGTGTGTTTGAAGGTATAACATCCACTCATGTGAACTTTAATATCTCCTTATATGACTTAGTAATTAGTTGTCCTTTAGAAAGGGTGGAGTAATATACTTTTTTTTTTTACATAAAAAGACAAGCTCACAGAGGCTCTGAGCCATGCAATGAATTATTTATAAATCAATCAAGTGCTTCCAGCTCTACCAACCCACATGTCAGAAAAACTAAGACTCTGGATGAAATATATCTCTCTAATAGAGTTGGTCTTTGTTTCACAAAGTACCGCATACTTTTCCTGGTGATCGTCGTCATTTTAAAGGGGTGGTTGATTATGATTTCACTTTTTTAACTTTAGTGCTGTTTGAGCATAAACGACATCTGCCAAGTTACAAAGCTCAAAGTTCAAAGCAAAGGAAGATATTTGCTTTTAAGGACTACAACAAACGGCTGGTAGGGACTACACAACATTCCTCCCTTGTTAGTGACATCACCAACCCTAAAATTTACATAAACCTTGACTCCGGAACATGATTTATAGATTATCAAGACAGAACATTCTAATCAATGACTAGAAGATAACGTACTCGGTTACTAACGTAACCTCGGTTCTCTCTAGAAGAGGGAACGAGTACTGCGTAATATCTTACGCTAGGGGAAAACCTCTTTTCCACGAGATATTAAAGCCAAAAAATTATCCTTAATTTTGAATTCATGTAAAACGCGTTGCGGCAGCATACAGACATAGGCAAAGGCAGCTTGCGTGCCTATTGGCTGTCCTGCTGCAACTGCAGCAGCCTATCGAGAGAGGCCCTTCGGTGACGGTCCAATGGGGGCGCTTCCCGCCCACTGCGTCACCTTCCCGCCAGAGTAGGCGTGGCCTAGCCCTATAAATATGGCTCGATGGGCTGATATCACTGGTTTTTCATCGCCGAAGCAAACCAGAGTGTGTTGCAAGCACGGCAAGATACACAGTACTCAATCCCTCTTCTAGAGAGAACCGAGGTTACGTTCTCTTACGAGAGGTTCTCTCGTACTGCGTAATATCTTACGCTAGGGGTGGGAACACAGTGTAAAACGCCGTGCATGCTGGGATCCAACACCAAAGTCCCAAGGGCAGAGGCCGGGGGCGCATGTAGTGCATAATCACCATAGACTCACAAAGAGTGAAGGAAGAGGGGCTAGAAGCGTCATTCCTTATAAAATAGCATCCAGAGGAGCTAATCATATAGATATTATACCACGTAGTCAGGGTGAAAACACTTTCAGCCTAAACCGGGTGGCCATACATGTGTTGACACTCGTGGAGCTGCTGTATCAGTCAGTGAGCGATACGCAGGCCAAACTCAGCATCTGGGCCGACACAGCGGGGCAGATCGCACTGAATTCTAGACCGCCAAAAGCTTAGCTTGTAAGGCGGGGACCTCCAGGTTATAGTATTTTATAAATGTAGATGGCGAGGCCCAGCCCACAGCCGTACAAATATCTTGCAGGGTAATCCCGCTAGACCATGCCCACGAAGAGGCCATGCCTCTCGTGGAGTGCGCTCTGACACCCAAGGGACACTGCAGGCCCTTAGCTGCTCAGTCTGTCTAAAACCAGACGAGCGGGACACATAAGCTCTTAGTGCCCTGACGGGGCAAAGGAGACTCGCGTCCTTCTCCTCATTGAGAACCGGAAGGGCGGACAGGGAAATCACCTGGGCCCTGAACGGTGTGTTGAGGGATTTCGGCACGTACCCTTACCTAGGTTTGAGTATGACCTTTGAGTCATTAGGCCCAAACTCCATACATGACGCGCTTACCGAAAGCGCTTGTAAGTCCCCTACGCGCTTCACTGAAGCGAGAGCCATGAGAAACACTGTTTTGAAAGACAGATGTTTCATGTCTGACAAATGGATTGGCTCGAATGGGGCACCTTTCATGGCTTCCAACACCGTGGAAAGGTCCCACATCGGGACTGAAAGGGGCCTGGGAGGGTTCAATCTCCGAGCTACCCTGAGGAAACGCAGTGGCTGGCCAGACGCCGGTTTTGCAAACGTTGCTATGGCCGCCACGTATACTTTGAGCGTGGATGGGGTTCTGCCCTTATCCAGTAGCTCTTGAAGGAAGGAAAGCACTTCCGTAACCCCGCAGTCTACGGGTGAAAAGCCCTGAGCTTGACACCAAGCAGAGAACACAGACCATTTCGAGGAATAGAGCCGTCGAGTAGACGGAGCTCTAGCCTGCGTGATCGTGTTTAACACTCCCTCCGGGAGGTTAGCGGGTACCCGTTGATGGCCCATGTGTGCAGGGACCACAGATCCGGGCAAGATGCTAAATCGAGCCTCAGTGGTACAGGCCACGGGGCAGTGCTGGCCAGCTGCATCAGGACTGGGAACCAGGTCTGGTTTGTCCAGAGCGGGGCCACGAGCAGCACTGGGCATCTGTTTTCCCTGATTCGTTCCAACACTTGAGGCAGGAGCGAGACAGGGGGAAAAGCATATAGGGAAACGCGGGGCCAGCGCATCCCTGCTCTTCAAGCAGAAGTTCGGACTCTGAGCGTTTTCGTGGGACGCGAACAGGTCCACCTGCGCTCTGCCGAACGTTTCCCACAGCAGTTGGATCGTCTGCGGGTGCAGCGACCATTCCCCTGCTGGAACATTGTTTCTGGACAGTCTGTTTGGTCCCACATTCAGGTGACCAGGCACATGCGCTGCTCTCAGCGAGAGCAGGTTGTGCTGAGCCCAGACCAGAAGGCGTTCCGTCAACCTGTAAAGGTTTCGGGACCTGACGCCGCCCTGGCGATTTATGTGTGCCACCACTGACATGTTGTCCGACCGGACCAGGACGTGGTGACCTTTTATCTGGGGACAGAAGCACCGTAGCGCTTTGTCGACTGCTATCATTTCCATCCCGAGGTGGAGGCGTCCGTAGACACCACCTGCACACTCGAGGCGGTCCCCAGACTCACACCTGACTGATACCAGTCGGTTACTTTCCAAGGTTTCAGAGCTGAAACGCACTTTAGATCGACCCTGAGGCGAAACAGACCAGCGGTCCGTGCCGAGGCGGAACTCGCGCTTTCAGCCACATCTGCAGTGGGCGCATGCGAAGCAGGCCCAGCTGGAGTACAGAGGCTACTGAGGCCATCAGGCCCAGTATTTTCTGAAACCTTTTGAGCGGGACTATAGAGCCGT